AGGTTCCCGAAGTGTCCTGTGTTCAAGTTCTGTTGGTTCTGTCTCTATATATGACTTGATGTAATTCTGTTGGCTGTACTTAAAATACTGTAATATGTGTGGGTATAATGTATGGTTGACTACCGGCTATGTATATAAAGTTTTAAATATTCTGTTTCATATAAGTCAGCACAGCTCATTAGACAACTATATTTATGTATTTGCTTCCACTAGCACCTTAATCTTGTTAATCTGTTCAAAGGCCTTCAGTAATCCAAGGATTACTGGCCGATTACGATGCTAAACCTATAGGGGCGGGTTTGGGTCGTCATAGTTAGTACATATTTTGATGTGAGTTATTAACATATAAATGTTTGAAATGTTATGGTGTGCATATAAGCACAGCTCAATGGACAAAGTTTTAAATTTGTTTCCGTTTGGCCCCTTTACTCTGATGAGTTTTGTTTTATTTGGTTTGAGGCCATAGGTAATCTCGTGATTACTGGCCGGTTATGGCCTTAACCCATAGGGGCGGGTTCGGGTCGTGACAGCGAAGGTCATAGAGGTGTTCGTGGTGGTACATAGGAATGTGGCAGAGCGAGCTAGCGCCGAGCTCGTCGCAGCCAAGTTAGAGCTTGAGGCGGAGCGCAATAATGTGATAGGACTGGAGTTCTAGTTGGCTGGTGAGCAGAAGAAGTTGGAGGAAGCCCCGAAAGCCTGTACCACCGCAAACGAAAGGTGGGATGAGGCTATGACCTGTAATGAAGATCTGCGCGCCTAGTCGATCAAGGACAAGGAGGAGGCAGATCAGCAGATCGCTGAGTTGGAGAAGGCACTGGCGGAGGAGCGAGCGCGACTACCATCTGAGAGGGTAGAGTTGGAGAAGGCCCTGGCCGAGGAGAGGGCCAAGTTGGCATCTGAAAGGACAGCGTACCCCGACCTGTATATGGCGGCTGTAGAGCAATTCAAGAGGTCCATCGATTTCCAGATGGCCATTGATGCGGCTGTTGCCAGCAGCTTGGCGAGAAAGGGGGATGGGGGGCTGGCCCGTCGGGAGCGACCGCTAGAAGGAGGAGTGAAGAGGAAGTAATCCAGACCTTCTAGCGGTCGAACTTCTACAAGCATGAGATGGCTGAGTTCTGGGACAGCGGTTGGAAGACCTTTAAACGTAAAGCGGAAGAGTTGTTCCCAGACTGAGACTTCAGCAGTGTGAGAATAGATAAAGACGACGTGGCCCAGACCCCCCTGGATGAAGGGGTTGATGAAGAAGACCTGGCCTCTAGCGAGGGAGACTAATTTATGTAAAAATTTTGTACTTATTTTTGTTTATGTTTTTTTTTAATTATTTTTATGAGTAATTCCTGTAGAAAGTTGTTTGTAACCGTAAGTTTTAGGAATAATATGACTTGTCTTTTACATCATTGTTGCCTTTATTTCTTTTGGGTTGTAAATTTGGAAATAATTCAGCGAAAAATGGGTATGAAATTAAGATTTGTGTGCAGATTAGCCTAACTTGTGAGAAAGTCATGATACAAAAATCATTAAAAATGGGCGTACATGAAAATGTTAAAGAATGAAAATTGAAAGACTGACTTGGATGACTATGGACCTGAATTTTAACTATGTGGAAAATGTGAGATTAAAAATATAGATACTGCTAAAATGGGCTGGATTTTGACTAAGTATGGCCACCACGAGCTGCGAGCCATTTTTACAATCCTACATAGTTTGAAGAGATTTATTGTAATTTACTCTTTAACTAAATATAAGAAATATTAGTGATACAAATAATATTATTGGTGAATCATAAAATACATCATTTGAGATTTGTTTAAATTATGAATTACCTTATGTGATTTTAAAAATTACATTTCGCCCCTTCAAGTGTTTTATTAATAAATTATCAAGTCAATTAATAGTTTTTAATGACGCAAAAACTATATTTCAATTAACAATGCAGATAATTTTATTATTGTATAGAAGAGTAATTAGAAATTTTATTTTTTTACTAATTCGATTAAATAAAAAATTCTGACAATAAAATATTTATAATTTTTAAAATCACAGGTGTAATTTATATTTCAAGCATATTATGTTTTTTCCTAATATTAAAAGGTGTCCTAGGTTGATAGGGGTTTGTGATTTTCACCCTAATAATAATAACAAGTGCAAATTATACTGACGGTCCTTACATTTTATTTCTTATATCATTTTGGTTTATAGATTTTTAATTGGCTCAATTTTGATTCTTAATTAAATTTTGTTAGTTTTTTTACAAAAAATTATCACTAATTGAGATTAACTCATCGAGTTTAGTAAATATAATTTTGACCTTAGAAATATGACACATGACATTTTAAAAAATATGTTAAGAATTGTAATCGATTGGATTAAATTAAAACAAAATTATAAATTTAGGATTAATCGAGTTAATTGAAATTATGAGGACTAAAATGACCAAAAAATTGAAGGATAGGACTATCGTCATAATTTATCCTAATAATAAATTCACAACTATATATTATATTATTTTTCTTCACTCACACAAGCCTATTTAAGCCCCAAGCTTATATCAACAGCTCAAGAAGTTGAGAAGGAAAAAGAATTGAAGAAATTTGGTTTCAATTTTCTAAATTTAATTTTTTGAAAAAAATTCATATTTTTTTTTTGTTTTAATAAATTTTTTATTTTTTAGGTACACGTAATATAAGTATAATTAAAAAAATATAATATTTATGAATTTTAAAAAAAAAAATTAGTATATTTTCATATTCTTTTGTATTTATTAATTTTTTATAATATTATTTTATAAATATTTTACTTTTTAAGTACATTTATGTTAAATTCATCTAAAACAAAAAAAAATTACTTAAAATATTTTTAAAAATCACTAAAAAAAAACACACAAAAAAAATCTTAATTTAAAAAAAATTAAATCTAGAAAATTGGATAATGTTGAAGGAGGATTACAGAAGTCTGGATGGAGATCCTTGCAAGACTACCAGTGAAGTCTCTCTGCTTTGAGGTTAGCACTCACTCTTGGAGGAGATCCAATTGTGTTGCTGATTTTCGTAGTGAAGCTTTTTGTTTCAGTACATTCTCTGCATTGGCGAATGCGGCGGTTCATTGAATTGTGTTTCATTGTTTTGGCATTTGATATGGGTGGTGATGTGTTTAGGGAGATGACATTGCCAAACCATCTAGTTAAATTAAGAGATTCTACAACCATGTATGTGCTAGCAAAAATCTAGTTTGGGTCAAATCGTCAGAAGAGATTCGACAAAGAAGCTAGAATTTCGCAAACAATAACAGATCAAACAATTATGGCTGATGTGCTATGCCTTGACAATTTCAATGACTTCTTTAGAGGTTGTAATGTGAAGAAACAAGTATGAATAAACTAAAATTTGATTGAAGAATAAGCAAACTTGCCACTTAATTACAATAATTAAATTACAAGTTCAATGTGCACAACAATTGACAAAGGAAAACTTGGCCACAGAGGCTGAATTACATTATGTTACTCCTAATTCCACATGGGTTATGAATTTTTGTTGAGCCTTTTCTCCTTTGAATTCCTAGCCTTTATGCTGCTGATCTTGCTACTAGCTTGCTGACACGTGTCCCACCATGGAGCAAGTTACCTCCACTTCTTACATAACTGCCCATGATCTTCATAACCAGTGGTAACTGCTTCTCTACTGCAGCCTCCTCTTTCTCTTGCAAACGAGCCGTGTGCCCTACATCACTTACATGCCTAATTTCATAGCTTGACACATGGGCCACGTTTGGCCGCATCCCACTGCACTATTAGATGAATTGACAAAGGAAACTGTGTCTACCACCTCTGCTTCTTCAACTGTTTCACTCTTGTCACCTGTTCTGCATTCTAGGACTCACATCCCTCTGCAAACTCATGGTCTTCATCCCTAGCATTCACTAGACCAGCCCTCTGTATTTTGTTATGTTTGTTCGACAGAGAAAATAAATTTTAGAGGTAAAAATGGATTTTCCCTAAAATGATATAAAGGGCAAAAATTTAGGGACAATCCATATTTACTAAATTCATAAATTATTTTGTCCATAATCGACAGGCCACAATCGCTGGAAACAAATTATAATGCAAACAATACCCGCCAACTCTTAAATACGAGATCACTAGAATTTTTGAAGAGTTCTACAACCATTATATTGAAATAGACATTATTTGGGAAATTAAATAATTTCCAATTTATATACAATTGACACTATCAATGCACATTTGAAGCATTTTCATCTTCAAAATAGACCTGTGCACATTCATACATGGCCTTGCAAACACTTTTCTTCTTTTATTATTTTCATCGGCTAATACTACATGAACTTGCTATGCCTTTGCTGGCTATACTTAGCTCATTCACCATTGTTAATTATCCATTACATGCAATTGACAAAAAAATGTTCTCTAGCAGTTGTTGTTTTGTTAACCATTTCACTAAAATTGAGTTTTGGTGTGATCCACAAATCCAAAGTAAATTTTGAACATCAAAAGCCATAGTATAAATTGGCTTTAAAACTTCATATATTTCATCATTTTGAATGATATAAAAAATGTTGAATTCATAAATAGTTGGTAATTCATCAATTTTAGCCATGTTTGGCTTAAAAACTTGCTTTTCTCCCCAATGATTTTTATCATCTTTTGCCAAAAAGGATTGTTGCTCACCAGTTTTTTGTTCATAATTTTCAGCCATATTTGGCTTAAAATTATGTCCCCCACGTTCATAATTTTCAGCCATCTTTGGATTAAAATTATGCCTCCCAAGTAAATCTTCACCATCATTTTGTGATAGATTTTTAACATCTTTCGGGAGAATGGACTTTTTTTTTTTTTAATTTTAACCATTGATGGCTTATGAAAACTCTCCAAAGTCATGTTATCTTCATGACTTGGTGTGTTCATCCCTTGAGCCATATTATTTTCATACCTTGGCTCTTCATGAATAACGGTTTGCATTTTGTGAGCCAACTTGAAATTAAATATGGCGTTCAGTACTTCAAATAATTCAGCTTTTCATGTGAAAGCATACTTTCTAATAATTGCTCTATTCGAAGAAGAAGACCATTTTTTATTTTCATGTGGAAGCATGCTTTCCAATAATTGCTCATTGGATAATGTTGAAGGAGGATTAGATGAGGAAGTCTGGATGGAGATCCGTGCAAGACTGCCAGTGAAGTCTCTGCTTCGATTCAGGTCAGTCTGCAAGTCTTGGGTCTCCTTATCACTAGCCCAATTTTCGTCACCACACACATCAATCAAACATAATCACACCACTGTCCCAAACTACTCATCAACTGCGAATCCCAAAATAAAGATCGCTATAGATCATGTATAGATGACGAAACTTTTGGTGAAGGGTATCTTTTGCTCGAGTCCCCATCTGTGTACTCTGTATTTTCATTCAATTTTGTGGGTTCATGTAATGGGTTATGTTTATTGGAATCTTTATGCCCAGGCAATTTGTCCTTAAGCTTTGAGCCATATAGAAAAATTGTAAAACTTCCTCCATCATTGACTCCAGTTACTAGTAATGTTCCTAAGCTACCTTCTATAGTTGGAACTGCTGTTGGATTTGGGTTTGATCAGAGAAGTAATGACTACAAAGTTGTGAAAATTGGGTACCTTGTTGATTACAAGAGTGGATTGGATGTTCCGTGGACGGTGGAGATTTACTTCCTTAACACTCATTCTTGGAGGAGATACAATTGTGTTGCTGATTTTTGTAGTGAAACTTTTTGTTTCGGTACATTCTCTGCGTTTGCGAATGGGGCAGTTCATTGGATTGCGTTTGTTAGTGGTTTATGGATTTTGAGATTTGATATGGTTGGTGAGGTGTTTAGGGAGATGACATTGCGGAACCATCTAGTTAAATTAAGAGATTCTACAACCATGTATGTTATGGTATTGGGTGAGTCGCTTGCTGTTGTACAACGTGACTATTATTCAAGTTCCCAGACTTTTCAAATATGGGTAATGGAGGAATATGGTGTCAAGGAGTCGTGGACTAATTGATCCACAATCATTTGACTAGAAGAATTTGGGAGCGTAGTGGGTTTGTAGAAGCATGGCGATGTGTGAATGGTTGCAGAGGAAGAGAAGTTGGTTTGGAATGATCCCCAGAGCCAACAAATCAAGAAACATCTAGGAGTAAATGGCTCTTATCACTCATTTTACGTTGTTACTTACATGGAGAGCTTAGTTGCATTAGATGCACCTAATGGAGTCAGGAAAGACAATCCCAATTCTCTTGATGCAATTGTCAACAAAGAAGCATCAAGGCGAAAGAGAAAGAAGCAGCAAAAGAGAAAGAGGCAAGATCATTATCCCCCACTTGTACTTCAGAATTTGAGCTTAATTGTTATAATTTGTAATTTTGTTCTTCTTAGATTCATGACGATGATATGAGCTACATATACAATATGAGCATTAACCTTGCATCAAACTATTTTTGTTTTACAGATTGTAACATTATTGTCGTAATTGAGTGGGTATATGCATGAATGTTTATATAAAATTTCTTGTTCATTTTAAAGTACCTCAGTGTATATAAAGATAAGGTTAAGTAGGGTATTGATATTCTGCTCTTAACACCTTGACATTTTCGATATTGCATTTGGGTGTACTATTTTTATAGAGCTGTGGTTGAATCTGGGGATCAACTACAAGAAAGGAGGAGCATTAAATTAGAAGGTAGGTTTATGTAGATGATTGCCTTTTCACATATTTTCATAATTCTAGGTTGAAATGTACTTCTTTCTTCTGATGTATGTGTGTAGGAATAGTATATGTTGATTGGGAAGATATACTAGTAGAATTTTGTATTGTCGCCTACCACCTCTAGTTGGAAACAGAAGAAATGATTAAATTAAACTATATGAAAATTGTCTATGATGCTATGCCGAAAATACATGTTTCTAATTCTCTACTACTTTTTTATGCTATTATTTTCTAATAAAGTGTGTTTTGTGCTTGTGTTGTATAATCATGGATAAATTTACTTTGTGAAAAGTAAATTGGGTGGTTTAGTGACTCAAGTACATTCGACTTAGGTGAAAGATTAGGGAGTTGGCAATCATAATTTCAAAAAATATTTCTATAAATATAATGAAGGTCTAATATCTCAATTAATATAACTGTTCAGTTAACTATTCTGATAATTCCAACTTATTTTCAGTAAAGTAGTTTTCATTCCCTTAAATGACGAGTATGAGTGAAGAAGATTTACAATGAGATTGTAAAGTATATTTGGCAAAGATCTAGAATCAAATCCATGTAATGATGGAACCACTGCCTATTTTCTATTTAAGAAACAAATGTACTCTAAACTTGTTTTTAACAAGAAAACCCTTGGTAGAGTTCATTGAAACTTTCTTGTTTTTGCTATTTGCTATCTCAAGGATTATGTTTTTGACTGTTTGTGAGTGAAACCATTTTTTGAGATAGCCAAGAAAATTAATTGGTTACGTTGTGTCACGTTGCGTGCGCCATTGGTTTCTAATGAATTTTTTTTTCCATCCTTACAGTTTCTTTGACTTGATTTGGGTGATTACTGGTCATTGCGTGCCATTTGCACATGCACACACATATAACCCAAAAAAAAAAAACTTTTCTTTGGTGGTTGAAAGGACAGAATTTAGAAAATATCAGTTCTATGCAGGGTTTTAAGCCTGTTTCAATGGTTCATGATTCTCTTTATTTCCATAATCTTTGTGTAGAGGAAGAAAAAAGAATGATGGGTGACTACGTGCATTATGATATCTTTAGTTGATGTCCCTCGCATTACATCCAGTCATATACTTCAGTGATTCACGCGCATCTGCAAAACATGGTACTTTTAATTCTCCGATCCTAGTTGTGCTGCTGAACACCTTAATCACTCTCGTGCTAAACCTAGGATCGCTTGCAAGTAGAGGGTTCTTTTCATTGTCCTTTTCTTTTGACTATCTGCACATTCTTGATTTCATAATTACTAATTAGTTTGTTAACATTAATTTGCAATAATATGCCATGTTATTGGTAGCAACTTGCCTATCTATCTATTAACTCCACTTTGCTGGTGTTTCTTGGATGGCTAAACATGCCAACACCTTCATTACCTCCTCTATGCATGTGCACTGCCGCACTCATTTATGCACATTAATTTTTTCACTGACTATTTTTTTTCCTTCTTTTTTTTTCAGGGGTTAAAGACCTCTACACAGCTCCGGCTTTGACTCCAACCACTTTCTACTTTTATTTTCTCTCCCAAATTTTGCACTGCTGTGACATATCATTGGTGCAAAAAAGATGGTGAATGGTGGGCATATTCTATCTTGTTTTGCTGCACAATTTAGGATTCCTTCCACAGGTGTAGTTTTTGTTCCTTTTGATTTGTTAGAGAAACAATGGCAATGTTTTAGTAGAGTACATAGATGATAGTGAGTGATACTTATGCACGTTCTAAAGACACTCCTACTCTTCATGTATTTTCACAAAAGATGTGTGATTTATAATTTTATACGCCTACCTCGTATATGTTGAAGCTAGCTAATCTGAGCACTCAAGCAAGCCAAGTCAGGATCAAGAGTCGAGGCAGATGCAGTAAAACCGACGGAAGGTCAAATAGTACTCAGAGGAGAGGCGCAGAACTGGATCGAAAACTGCTGAGAAGACGAAGCAGACAGATATCCATTCTTAGGACAATGGTACTTCCAATGACCCCTTTGATGGCAGTAGGCACATTCACCTGAAGCCAGAGACATCATAATAACTAGAAAACTGAGGGGTTCAAGTGTAATAAACCCAGAATAGAACAAAATAGAAAAACCAAGGGTTCAAGTGTAATAAACAAAATTTTGTAGGGTCAAAATGCAATAACAAATAACTGAGTGGTGAACTGTAACAAACTAATTACAGTACCAAATACTCAATCAAATACGATCAAAGCAAATCAGAAGTACACCAGAGAATTGAAGCAGAACTAGAGAAAAGTCTTAGATGAGAGGAGTCAAAGCACAACTAACCACGTCGATCAGATGGGTCGACCAGATGGGTCACCCAACCAAGTCGAGTAGAGAGAAGAGGCGAACCACATTAGAGGGGTGTTCTTTGGCGAGAGAGAAGACCAGCAAACCAGAATCAGACACTAGGTGGGTCGTGAGCCAGATGGGTCATGATGTAGAGGCAGACAGGTCGCGATGGATCGCAATTCAGGCTCAGAGTTAGAGCAGAGATACGAACGAGGGACTTTGCCAGAAGAGATGAATCGAGATTCCAACAGGTAGGTCACGATTTCAGTGAGATTAAAGGTTGATAGTGAGCACAACTTCGGAGGCTAATTAGGTTTTCAAACACTGCTCTGATGCCATATAAGATTTCTGAATTGGTTTATGTATATTCAACTTGTAGAATACAAAAATTACAACCAATATTCATAGCAATCCTAAACCTAATCTATAATAAGAAATAATCCTATACAATCAATCGAATATCAACCTACCTAATTGATACATAATAGCATAACTACATAATAATACCATATTCTCACAGTCTTAATGGTTCAAGATGGATTACTGGAGCCTTAGGAGTTGGTTTCATGTGATACAAAAAGCGGCCAAATCAATCATCTGGAGCTCCATGGCGACTCATTTTATGTTAATACTTATATGGAGAGCTTAGTTGCACTAGATGCAGCTGACGGAGTCTGGAAATCACATGTGTCCCAATTTCTCTTAAAGGGTTTCCCAACAAGGAAGCATTGTGTAGTACTTTAATCGTTACAGTTTGCCGCACTTAATTGTTATAGTTTGTCATTTTGTTGTTCTTAGATACTTTGTGTTGGATTTTTGAGCTGCATATGAACAATAACTTTGCATCAATATCCTTTTTCCTGAATGCACTATTGTTCTCATATTCATGTCGGGATATCAATTTAATATTTTGGGTCATATTGTTGTCAAAAGTATCTTTGTGTATGTAATAAGTCAATATGGGAATTCATACTTAGATCCTAGCACGTTAACATTTTCATTATCTCACATAGGTTGACTCCCTTTATAAAGGTTGTTGTGGGTTCAGGGGATCAACTAAAAGAAACGAGGAAGAATTTAAAAGTAGAATAATGGTTAAATTAATATAGATGGATTGCCTTTTCACATATTGTATATAATTCTTTTTTATGTATTGTATATAATTCTCTTTAGTGTTGAAATGTATTGCTTCCTTCTCATGTATATGTGTATTGAATAACTTGTTGAATGTTATACTGTTGTGGAGAGTCTAATTCTTTTTTATGCTATTATTTCTCAGTAAATTTTCCTTTGGCATTGTGATGAGTATATAACTTGGGTGGTTTTGTGACTTGGGTACTTTGAGAAGATCATATAATTTACTTTGATTTTGAAAAATATTTGTACAAATATAATGAAGTTCTGAAATAAATTTTGGTATGTAAAATCAAATGTATTCCTAACTATGATTTGCTACCAAGTGAAACTGTGGCCTTTATTCCCCATATCTATAACTTTGCATTGATAGAGGAATTCATTAAAAGTTAAGGTTTTGAGCTTTTGTCTATCTCTGGCACCTTCTTTCTCTGTTGCAAAGGAGATGTCATTGAAATCACGCCGCCGCCCCGTCCCCCCCTCCCGACGCAAAGCCATGGTTTGTTCAAATTTCAAGAGCCATTAGCTATAAGAGAGCAAAGATTTCTTCTTTCATTGATTATTGGCAAACATCAATAAATGAGAGCCTCCACTTCCCAAAAGGTTATGAAAAGTGCATTGGCTATACCCCCTCCCCCCCTCCTCTAAAAATAAAAATAAAATATAAAAAAAATGGGAATTCAGTAAAGTGCAAATCCACCTTTTTGCTTGAAAAAACTACTACTCTTCCAGCAAGACCGATATTCACTAAAAGTGAAAAACACAAATTAAATACTCTGATTTCTTCAAAATTATTTTTTCTAGCTTGCATTTCAAGCAGACAAATTAGTGAGGGTCTAAACTGGACACCCAGGACCTTTAGTGGTTGGA